AGAGTCTGAAAAAATGTATCTTGTTTGTTGGACACATATAAATGGAATCCAACTTTATTTTGGAACCATGAAAGTGGGAATGTGCATAAAAAATAAAATTTGATGGATAAAATTTAGAATGGCCATGTTCAGATGTGATTCTGTTTAAGTCAGATGTTTGTTTAACAATCATTTATCTTTCTTTGGTGACTTAAAGTGTCTCCAGTTCAGATTCTGGCTTCACTTAAGCACGGCAGTGTCAGGTTATAGCCTCTTCAGATATTTACCCACGACATAATAGATTACTTTTTATTCTAATACGCAATGTGTAGAATCCATGTAAGCAAAGACCGTCAAAGCCGATGACCAATGAGCCTGGCTCATGGGAAGTAATAGCTTGATGACTCAGAACATGGGCTCTTGTGCCAGATTTCCAAAGTGGAAAGCTAGCCCTTCACTTGTTTTCTTTTAAGCTGGGTCAAGTTAATTTATCCTTTATGCCTTATTTTCTTCATTTGTAAAACAGTAATGATAGTGATTTTTTCATCAGATTGTTGTGTGAGGGTAAAGTGAATTAGCATGTGCATTGTGTTTAGCACAACGTTGTGAAGTAGTAATTTTAAGCTGTTATTGTTTGTATTATTATTATGGATAAGTGTCAAAAAAGATATCAAGAGTACCTGATGGGCTTGAAAGTAACTTTGTAGGACAAAGAACAGAGTTCATAGTGGCAAACCACCAATCGATCTCATTCTTCTCTGTGATACTCTCCACTCCCCTTATATGTCATAAGTTGTGGGTAATTACATTGCTTTCTTGGAAGATGGCTAGAATCGAAAGGTAATTAAATGATTCTGTGCTGGGAAAGAGGTTTCTTGCATTGTCTACATATCATGAGAAAAATGCTATAGACTTTTGAGGTAGGCATGGAATGCCCCAGTGCCTGTTTCTCAAATGCCTTGTTGCCCCTCACTCACCTCACTGTAGGTTAGTAGCTGTGAGTCAGTAAACAGGATCCACTTTGGTCTTTTAAATAATCCTAGGACCTGAAGGGATATAACTATTGTGACGGAAGCCTTGGCACACTGTATTCCCGGGTTAAATTAGTACCAAATCCTGAGCCCTTGGGGCTAACAAGTATAGTTAAGCTTCAAAGATTTTTCTTGTTTATCTTGGAAACAACTAAGAGGACAGGTGACTAGATAATTCTGGGGAAAAATTGGGAATATCAGTTTCACAGAGTTTTGAATTGTTCTTTTCTCTTTCCCTTTCCATGGATGGATTTTCATCCTTAGAGCAAACTCTTGATTTAGAGTTTCTTATACGTGGGCTTTGGGATTGTTTATATTACATGTTCCATAAAAAATATTTGGTACCTCTCTTCTCTTTCCTGTCCTCTGCCCCAGCTTAATTTCATTTTTCCCTTATAGCAGAAAAATCTGAGTGGCTGTCAGCACTCAATATTGTTTTGTATGGCCATGAGTAATGATGGCACTGATGGGAGGTTTGAGGTCTGCTCAGCTGAACCTTTGAAGCACAGATGTTCCTCTAAGATCTTGCTGAAGCTGGCAAACCTCTTCAATTTTGTAGGCAGAGAGTCTTCCAGCATTTCTCGCTTTCCTGCTATTAGAAAGGGTTGGAAATACTGTAGAGGCAGCCTCTCTGATGAAATTTCTGCATTTTGCTTTCTGACTAGTGGCTTAATATGCAGCTTGACACTTTGAAACCAGCAAGAAGGCCAGTCAGTACTCCATGCTGCACTGTGATTGGAGGTTGAAATCGTCTGTCCATCCAGCTCTAACTTTACTTTTTCTTTTTCCTCTCAGTTATTACAGATGTGCTGTATTATCACTGTAGTCTACAATAATATATAGGGAGAATTAAATGCTGTAGATATTCTTTGTCCTGCTGCTCATATAAAAAAGTACATGATATTGAAGCACCCTTGAGACTGCTTTTCAGAGATGAAGACTGTAATCTCCTATCTTTGACATCTAAGTATGGGAAACAGTTTTAGAGAATTGTGTGACCTTCTCTCAAAACCTTGAACTGAATCAAATGTGCTTTTGTTGGTAGAAAGATAATGACTGAAATTGAGGTAATCTGAAAATGTGTTACAGACTGTGTTTTCCATACAACACAATGCCCCATTCTTGGGAGAGATTATAAATTCTCCTCCTTTGATGACAATTTTTCCAAGCTGATTTTTTCATAAGTTCCATGATAATTTTTCTACAAAACGATTTTTTTTTCTAATTGCATCACTTGTCCTGGTTTGTATTCAGAGGAAGGAAGATGATATATAAAATAAGAATTTGGAGGTCTTTGAGAACTAAAAGTGAACTAAACATGTTAAAAGTTTATGTTGAAACTTCATGGGAAGAAGAATTCCAAGTAATTTATGTAGGTGCCCTTTCTTTAAGGAGGTGAAGCATAACTCTCTATTCTTTAAGTGTGAACATCACATTGTGACTTCCTTCCAAAGAGTACTGTATAGAAAGGAGGAAAAAGAAGAACTACACAGTAGAGAAACCTGAAAATCATTTCAGTTAGAAAATCAGGGTTAACATCAACAGCTATAAATCATATTGATAGCATGAACCCTTGATATCATATGATGAGAATGACATTTTACCTCTGTGATCTTCCTTTCCCAAACCTATGAAATCCAGTCCAGTCATGAGAAAAAATCAGACAAATTCCAGTAGAGAGGCATCCTACAAAACCTGACCAGCACTCCTCAAAACTGTCAAAGTCTTCAAAAATAAGACAAGTCTAACAAATTGTCACCGACAATAGGAGTTTTAAAAAGTCATGACAATTTAATATGGGTTCTGGATGGAATCCTGCAACAGAAAAAAAAAGAACAGTCAATAAGAACTAAGAAAATATGAATAAACTATGGATTTTTCTTAATTAAAAAATTTATGATGCACCATCATTTCCTTATATCTAAACTGATTTAATTCTCACAGTGAAACTATGTCTTCTTTAAGGGATAGAATATATGGCTGGGAGCTTAATATCCTGAACCTATGCTTAGAAAGAGGTAAAGTGACTTGTCCAAAGTTACGCATTTCCTGAATAAGCCTAAGACTACACAACAATAGAGAATTGTAGGATTTGCCACAACCCTATGATGATTTATGTATTAAATTTTTATTGTCACTGTGACAAATTGCCGTAAATGTAGCAGCTTAAAACATCATCCATCTGTGATATCACTGTTTGTATGTCAGTATTCTGGGTATAGCATGACTTAGCTGGGTCCTTTTCTCAGAATCCCTTAAGGCTTACATCAAAGATATCAACAGGGCTACCTTCTTTTCCAGAAGTTCTGGGATGATCTGCCTTTAAGGTAATTCAGGTTTTCATCGCAATTTAGTTCCATGTGGTTGTAGAACTGAGATTCCTATTTCCTTGCTGGTTGTACAACAGGAACATTTCTCAAGTCCCAAAGGCCTCCTGCATTCCTCCCCACAATGCCTTCTCCATCGTAAAACAAGAAATGACAGAGTAAGTCTTTCTCATGCTTTGAATTTCTTTTACTTCCTTCTCTGTTCACATTGCTCTGTCCTCAGCAAGAAGTAAACAGTAATTTTTAAGAGCTCATATGATTATATTGGATAATCCAGTATAATGTTTCTATCTTAAAGTCAACTAATTAGTAATCCTATATCTACAAAGTCCCTTTTTCCTTATAGTGTAACATATTCACAGGATTCAGGGATTAGGGCGGGACATTTTGCAGGGGAAGCATTCTGCCTACCCTAGATTATTAAGAGCACTCTTGGCTGTTTGATGTTGAAGATTACTATCTACCTATCAACATCTATTACCTCTGATACTCTGTAAGATATACTCATACATTTATATTCAAGGACTGGTTTCAAGTACATCCTAAGGTGGTCAGTTACTTTAGCAATGACTACATTTCAGTATCCTGCCATTTCTTCCCCCTGAATTCCCGTTATCACCATTTTAAATAAAAACAAAACAACAGTCCCTTTTTTATGTATACAACTACCCAGTGAACCATCCACTTGGCAAGAAATTTTTTTGAAACCTTGCAATATAATTAAGAAATACTTAAATGCCTGATAAGGTTCCCTTTCTCTTTTGTTCTTTCTTTCTCTTAGAGTTAATATCTGTATGATGTAGTTTAGATATATATCCCCTCCAAATCTCATATTGAAATGTGATGGATCATATCTGTTATGTGCACCTGGAACCTGGTATGGTCTCAGTCTCAGTCATTGTGGAATGAATGGGGCAGTATCTTAGAGTCAAGGAAGTGGGATATTCTGAGGGTTTAAGACAGGCGTCCCCAAACTTTTTACACAGGGGGCCAGTTCACTGTCCCTCAGACTGTTGGAGGGCCGCCACATACTGTGCTCCTCTCATTGACCACTAATGAAGGAGGTGCCCCTTCCTGAAGTGCGGCAGGGGGCCGGATAAATGGCCTCAGGGAGCCGCATGCGGTCCGCGGACTGTAGTTTGGGGACGCCTGGTTTAAGAAGTCCTCACTTAAATTCATCTCATCTCTGCCTCCTCCCAAGAAAAAGTAGCCCTTAATCTGAATTTTGGGTCCCAGGAACCCAAGTGGGTCACATTTGCAGGGCTGGTGTCACTGTGCACCAGCCCTGGGTATTACAGCCTGGGTGTGAGGTTCTCTTCCTGATGCTTAGGATTTCTTCCCCTTTCCCATGGTAGAAGTTGTAAACTGACATAGCAAAACACTCCTGCAGCCAACTCTGGAGCACTCTCTTTTCTGGGATTTCTTTAATGTAGCAGGGCCGAGGGAGTAAACTTTAGTTCTGGGCTTAAGTGAAGATAAGGAGTTTTTAAAGGATAGGTTTTATTTTATTTATTTATTATTTATTTTTCTGACCACTTCTCCCTCCATCACGAAGTGGTGCAAAGTACATTTATTTTTACAATGAAAGCTCTATGAATCTGACAAAGGCCCTCCTTTAACTGGAGATAATTTGGGTTGTTGTGAAGGTTTGGGAAGCCCTTCTATGGGTCAGTTTTATCTCCGAGTCTGTCCCTGCCAGAAGCCGTCAGAAGTCTCCGTTACTCTGGGCTCCAGTGTGCTACCCCCAGATTTGGCAGAGGGATCTCTCCCTCCTAGTTCACAGTTCTGCTTCCCACCCTCAGTGATGGAATTAGAGTTCCAGGTCCACGCCGTGAATGAGATTTTGAGTGTTAAGAGGGAATATGTAGTTTATGATCTGAAGACCCAAGTCCCACCCCAGCAGCTGGTGCCCTGCTTCCAAGTGGCAGTGAGTCCCATCAAGAGGACTCTGATAGAGGGCTGCTGGAGATGGTGGGCATGAGGAGGCAGGGCTAGCAGCTGGATCCCATGCTCCTGTTGTCCACCTCCCTCCTCTACCTGGAAGGCCCTGGCTTTTTTCCCTTCCAGCTGAGCCTGAAGAACATGGCACTCAAGTCCATCATTGCTCTCTTGGTGCCTGCGGAGGTGCTGCTGTTGGCTGACGTGTGTGGGGGGCTGCTGCCCCTCCGGGTCATCGAGCGCATTGCCTACAAGGTGACCTTGCTGCTGAGCTACCTGGTCTTCCACTCCTCCCTGGTGCAGGCCCTGCCAAGCTCCTCCTTCTGCAACACCCTGCTCAGTAAGTCCTGCTCCCTCACCTGGCCTGCCCTGTTTCTCCCAGGTCACCCACTGGTGCTTAGCTGGCTGGGCACCAGAGACTCAGGGACTAGCCTCTGATCATCTCCCCATGCCTTGTCACCACCAGTTTACTTCTTCACCATCCTGTTGCTGCTGCTCTTCCTCAGCACCATGGAGACTGTGCTGCTGGCTGGGCTGCTGACCCGGGGCAGCCTTGGAAGGAGGATAGGTTTTAATAGCCAAACTGCCTAGGTCCAACCTTGACTCTGTCCCTTGATCGCTATGTGAGCTTGGCACAGCTTTTTATCTCCCAGTTTTTTGGTGAATTTACTAATCTGTAGAGTGATCAAAACTCGTTGCTAGATTTTCTAACGTTTTATAGAGGTAAAAATGAGATCATGCCTACAAAGCATTCAGCACAGTGTCTGGCATCTAGAAAGTGCTTCTCCCTTATACCTACTTGGCTCACACCTTCACCAAATATTATTTTTTCAGATCTTCTCTTCTCAATGCAACTTTCTCTGAGTATTCTACTTAATACCTCAAACTCTTCCCACCTCATGGTCCAGTTAGTACTTCTGATCTATCTTGCTCTTGGGTTTTACCTTCTAATAATGGCTATTTTATAATATTCTGACATATTACATTTATTTTTTAAATGTAGGTTACATTTTGTAGATAGAATAAGGGCTAAGCTGGGGAGAAGGCTACTCTTCATGAAAATTTTATTTTTTCCTTTTAGAGATTAAAAACAAAAATTCTCTAAGTTAAGTACATCCCTATGGCATCATATTCAAAGCTTCTACTGAGCTTTAATTTAAACATCAAATTGCCCCCACATGGTAAATAAACACCCAACAAATATCTGGCAACTTTGTAATGTGTTCTATGTTTTCTACAAGTTCAACTCCTCCATTCCTAACTAGGGTTGCCACTAAGCACAGATTGTACCCACATGATAAATGAGTCATTTTGTGGATTTACTTGAATTAGAGAAGTCAGCAAATACTCCCCTTTGTCCTAGCCTGTCATTTGGGGAGGCCCATTTAGAACTACCGAGACTCTACTTGTCCTACACATTTTTCCAGGGTTGAAACTCTGCTTACTTGGTATTTTCCCTGCAGCACGTTGAACTTCTTTCTTCTGTAATTCTTCTTATCAATGCTTAAACCACAGGCACAAATTCTTTCCCCTCCATCTCTCTCCATACACATCTTTTTCTGTACTCTCATCCTACTAATGCAATAGCAGCTGCCACCCTTTTTCACTCTACCATTGTGTCATTTAGCAACCCACTTCAGCAACCCTTCCACTTGGTCATCATGACTGAAATGAAATTTTCCCCTCACAATTTCCTGTTTCTGGTAACCCTCTCCGGGTTTAAATCTTGTTTAACTTCTACACATTGTTGTCTACCAAGATTTAATTAGTGAATTAATTTTTGAGATGGAATCTCACTCTCTCACCCAGGCTGGAGAGCAATGGCATGATCTTGGCTCACTGGAATCTCTGCCTCTCAGGTTCAAGTGCTTCTCCTGCCTCAGCCTCCCAAGTAGCTGCAATTAGAGGCACATGTCACCACACCCAGAGAATTTTTGTCTTTTTAGTAAATACAGGGTTTTACCACCTTGGCCAGGCTGGTCTTGAACTCCTGACCTCAAGTGATCCACCCATCTCAGCCTCCCAAAGTGCTAGGATTACAGGTGTGAGCCACTGCGCCTGCCCTGAGGTTTAATTTCAATTTCAAATGACCTCCATGGCAAATAAATACCAGGAAAATATCTGGTAATTTCTTCTTCCAATCCCTTGGTGTTTCCCAGAACTTTAGGGATCAAGTCAGGATTTGGTATATTCCTTGCAACATTCAGTTCAACCTTCCTTGCACTTCTCAAGAGACAAATCCTTTATAAAAAATGAAAGTGGTGGTATCTGCATTTAGTTTAATGTCTTCATTCAAAATTATGCCCCTTTTTGATGTCCTTGCTAGCCACTTCTCTCTTTTCTCATTTTAGTCATCTCTAGTGTTTTAAAATGTAGGTGTGGTTATTACTCAGATCATTGAAAAGATAATTTGTTATCTGCAATTGTCAAGAGAGTAATAGTGATGCCATGCCATGTAGGGCCACACAGGGAGACACTGTGTTCGGGAGACAGAAGGAGTGAGGAGAGAACACAGGCAAGTGCTGTTATTGGAGTTTCTGTGGAAAGAAATGAGTAAGGCAAAGGTAACAGTTTGGAATTGGCTAGTTCGAATAATTTTAACAGACTCTGGGGTATGGGGCTGTCCCTAGTTGCCTGGTCCCTGGCCCTGGGGTGAATAGAGTCAGTGGCTCCTGGCCCAGTGTGTAAGAGCCTGATAAAGAAAGTAGTTGAGGAGGTTGGGCTCCTGATTTGTTGGTTTGCAAATGAAAGACACAGTTGCAGGAGAGTCCTTTACTATTTTTAGGAATTGGCTCACCCAGGGAGGAGCAGAACTCTTAAGGATCAGTAAGGTCCAAATGTGAAACATCAGAAAATACAAAAAATAAAAAAAAACCCACAGTTAACACATCTAGTCTCCTATATTCTCTCCAACTTTCCTAATGATTGGATTTCTGTTTTCTTCCCCACTTAACTATCTCCTTTCCATTTCTCACCTAGTTAACTTGATATTCTACTTTTATACTAGGTAATTTAACTTTCAACCAAGTCCTTAACCCCTCAGTTTTAATGACTGTCATCTTTACTAAAGGCACTCAGATAAAGCACTATATTAGATTAATATGTTTCACATCAGTTTAAATCTTGTTTTCCAAAATTGCTATTTCCATCTGCATATTTCTTTTATTTTCCATTTGTTTGCCCTACTCAAAAAGTTCTTCATGTTTATTCGAGTCCACGACACCTGGGATTTCTCTCAGTCCACCCTCTCCATTTTGAGTTAAGAGACTTCTCCGCCACTTTCTATTAATTTCCAGATTCTGCTGACTGACCTGCATGACATCTTCAGTTTAGCTTCTCCCTTACATTCTTACTTCCATTATGTAGTGTGTAGACCTCATTGCTTCCCTTTATCTAGGACCAACAGGCTTATCGCTCCAACCCTCTAAATAGTTTGCCCATGGCTGCTAGATTCATATTTCTTAAATAAAATTTCCATTATGAGACTCTCCTGTACACATTCCTTCACTGACTTCCCTATATCCACCAGGAGAAAAGAAAACCACTAAACAAAACATCAAATAGATTATTCCTGGATCAGGATGAATGGGCCTTCATGGTGTAAATTTTTACCCTCTTCTTTGATGAAGCTGGCTTTGATTTTCCTTGGCCAGATATGAATTTTCTCTCCAAAGAACTATGTAACTTTATAGAGGCACTTGTATTCTGTCTTGCTTCAATTATTTTTTATACCATTAGACTGTAAGCTTTTTTATGACAGGGGCTTTATCTTCTTCATCTTTGTGTTTTCTATAGTGATTAGCAATAAGCCTTATAAATAGTAGGTGTTAATGATTCTTTTTAATGAAATAGCATCTCAAAACACCATGGTAAGAATCTTGAGCACTCAGCTAAATCCTTAATTTGGTATCATTTAAAAAAATATAAAGATAATTTACAATTAATTGAACATACCCAAGCAATTACTCTACAAATGTTTAAATTGCCATATGCACCTTAGTTTGCACCGTATTTTGAATTATATGTGCTCCTTGTGCTTTTAACTGCACATTTAATATTTAGAAAAGGGTTAAACAAATGTGATGTGTTACATCAAAGGAAGGAGGGAAAGCGTGACAAATTAAGTAGTTTGTATAAAAGCCAAATAATTCTAAGACACAGAAATAGTCAAATACATCATGAACTCCCACGCGTTGCAGTTTTTGAGTGGGAAGCCACAATATCTTGCCTGGAGACAGTGGAGGAGGGGCAGAGAACAGTGGGAAGTCTGACTTATGTTCCTGTATTGGATAGACTGACCACCACTCTGTAGTTATTCATCAAGTAGAATCAGTGCAGGTGAGAGCAAGCAGGAAACAAAGTCATAGAATTTCGAAGTCAAAAGGCTCTTAGAGGTCATCTGGTTCAATCTCCTGCCAGTAGCAGGAATCTTTTCTAAGTGCCATGGACATATGGCATCTGTTGAACACCCCACTGAGAGAGATGATTGCCCTATTGAGGGATCTCATTTCACTTTAGGACAGAGCTAATTATTAGGAAATCTTTCTTTCTATTGAGTTGAAATATGCTTCCTATAACTTTTACCCAGCGGCCCTCTTTCTATCCTCTTGAGTAATGCAGAATAGATTAAATTTATCTTTCTTATAATTGCCCTCAAAATAGCTGAAGCTCACTATCAAGTCCTCTATCAGTCTTTTCTAGAGGCTGAATAAAAATCTCCATTTCTTACACAAGCAACAATTGCAAAGCACTTTATTTGCCTCTTACATTTGGAATTTAGATTATGCTAATTAGTATATTAATTTATATGTATTTCTGTTCTCTTTCTTTGCCTTGTGCTGAATTGAATTGAGGGAAAAAAAATCTTTTATTTTTGAATCACCTTTCCCAAAATCTACCCAAGGTCTGCAATATTTCCTTTAAATTCCAGAAGAGAAAGGGAATGGGTGGGGGTGGGGGTGGGGGGCACGAAATACTCTTTTAAAAGAATGACTTTACAATGATTTCAAAGGAAAATGTGATGATATCAAGGGAGTTAAGACTATGATGAAATAATTTTCGAGGAAATGCTGTGGAAACGAGACCAGGAGAGACTTACTACTGGACGCAAAACCTGGAGCCTTGAAGAGGGCTTGCCCAGGCACCTTTCTACCTAGGGTACTACCTTTCCCTCCTGTCTAGGCTATAAGAGTCTGGCTGTCCCTCTGTCTGAATTCTAGGTAATTTGGGGCGACCATAATTTCTCCTGATTATGCTGTTGTACTTTCCTCTAGTTACAACTTGAAAAATAGAATGAAGCTGGTGTTCATGGTCTACAGAAAGGGCAAGGTCAACTAGGGCCTTTAGGATTTGACCTCTTGAAACTCACTTGAAGTAGTGATACAAATTGAAAAGGTATCCAGTATCCCCAAATACTAAATGGAGTACTTGACTTTTATTGCTGCTAAATTTTATCATGTTAATTTTTGTCTTTTTTTTTTTCAATCCCTTAAGAATCACTTATGGCTCGATTCTCTTCTCCAGTGAAAATTTCTGTCATCTTTCCTCTGATAAGTATGACATGTATGT